TTATTTTTGGTTGTTTCCTTAGGCAAAATGTACTGTTTCATAATTTTCATTTTTTTTTTGAATTTATTTCTTTCCAAATAGAATTCTCTCTCTCTCTCTCTCTCTCTCTCTCTCCCCCCCCCTCTCTTTCTTTGTCCTTAAAAGTGCGACGGCCTTCTGATATCATGATATCGTTGAACTGACCGGGCCCAGGTAATCCAGAATTATTTCGTTCCGGTCATCTGATTGTGTCTGGATTCGAAAATGGGTCTTTTATTCCAGCAATTCGTGGGTGTACGGACTGAGCAACTGTCTTCCACCGAACACAACGCACCCTCATTTTGGCTGTCTCTGGCCGGAAATAAAGCTTGTATGCATTCATTTTTAGGGTGCGTTATATTCGGGGGAAGACGGTAGGCTCGTTGGTGAATTCTCTCTCTTGCCGTGTTTCCCCTCCTGTCTGTTGACGATCAGCGGGTAAGGGAAATGGATGCCTACTCTCTTTTTTTTTTTCTTTTTTTTTCATTTTAGATATGTGTTCATGATCAGACGGGCACACTACGTGGAAACGCTTGGCTTAGCTGGCGTTGTCTTTCTCAAATACCCCGCTAAATTTCCGCAGATGATTGGAGGGGGGGGGGGGGGGGATGGGGGGGGGAGAGGGGCCGTTGGGGGGGTGAACGGCGGTTGTGGAATCGGATATCGAACGAATCATGCGGGTGTCAAAAATGGGGTACTGGTTTGAGGGCCAAATTAACCTGAATGAACCTGGTGGGTATCTTGTACCAGGTACATTGCTACCTAAGTGAAGTTAGCCTTGCTTTATCGAACCGGCCACGAACGCAAAAGGAAGAGTGTTTTTTCGGTTTTTGTTTTTTGTTTTGTTTTTAAGAGTGAAATTTTTACAAACAGCTTAATATGCCTTAGTCAGAGTGAAAAGTTTTAGCATTTTTAGCACACGGCATTTAGATTATATATTTTATAATAATATTGATGTAGTATATATATATTTTTATTTTATTATGTATATTTTAAGTTTTTTTTTTTTCCTAAGGGGAATAACGTAGCATAAATCCCCGTGGGGAAATATAGAGTTGCATCCGTATCCCTGCCTGTCCGACCCATCCGCTCCTGTACGGTCAGGCGCATGATTGGTCGGTATGTAGACGTCATCTGCGTCTTGATACATTCAAATAGCCCCGGAAAGCAACAACAAACTTCCCTGCGGTCATTTTGATGGCAATTACCTTTTTTGTTTGTTATTCAGTTTTTTTTTATTTTTTTATTTTATACTTTTTAATTAATCTAATTACTAACCGCAGGGTTTCATTCTGCCAATACCGAGTACCCCCCTATATACCCCCCCCTCCCCCTCTCCCTGCAGCAAAACGGAGTAGCGGAGTAGGAAGGGGACTGCAGTGCCTAGATGATGAGATGTGAACAGGGAGCTTAAGGGAGGGTCATGGGTTTTAATAAGGGGCTTACATCCTAGCGGGAGGTCTGATGGGAGTCTTAGAGGGGGGGGGGGAGAGGGGTTAAGAGGGGAGATTATAAAGAGCATTAAATAAAAGGGTTTTAAGGGAGGGTAAAGGGTTTAGTAGGGGTTTATTGGGTTTAAGCGAAGATCTTTTTCTATTTTCACAGCAATTTGCTTCTCGTATAGACAAAGTAGAAGAAATGTTAACAAACAATCGTATTTGGAAACAACGACTTGTAGATATTGGTACTGTTACTGCACAACAGGCTATGGATTGGGGATTTAGTGGTGTAACGTTAAGAGGTTCAGGGGTTTCCTGGGATTTGCGAAAAGCAGCACCCTACGATGTTTATGACAAAGTAGAATTTGATGTACCCGTAGGTACACGAGGAGATTGTTATGATCGTTATTGTGTCCGCATTGAAGAAATGCGACAAAGTCTTGGAATCATTGTCCAATGCTTGAATCAAATGCCTAGTGGCATGATCAAAGCGGATGATCGTAAACTTTGTCCTCCTTCACGCTCTCAAATGAAACAATCCATGGAATCCTTAAGTCATCACTTTAAGCTTTACACGGAGGGTGTGTCTGTACCAGCTTCTTCTACATACACCTGTGTAGAAGCACCCAAAGGAGAATTTGGTAGCAAGTAGCTAAAAGCAAACCCAAATTTAGCGAATAACATGAACAAGCGAAATTCCTCGACAAAGGGGTATTTTCTTCAGCATCAAAGACAAAATCTGGCTATATGCTGGAACCTCCGACCAAGTGATGCAAGCAAAATAATGATAATGAATGCGTCGGTGCGGACAATCAGCAGGGAAGTCATGTGCTGATACATGCGCTGCGCCCCTCAACGACTACACGC